AGTTATGGACTTAGACATCTTATCCAACATATACTTGACCCGGTTGTGCGTGGTCCTTTTGGGTTGCCTTCACAAAGCAACTTGATAGGATGATTCAAGGAGGAAGAGAGGTTATTATGGTTTATTAATATATTATATGAATAATATATTAAAGGAGGCCAATCATATTGTTTAATTAATATTAGTCAAGAATTAATAAGAATTGATTTTGTGGCTAAAAGACATTAATTAAATAAAATGGACTAGAACGGTCAATTGTGTGATAGTTGAACATTGGGCTAATGGACTCCATAGAAGTTGGAGTAGACGAAATCTATGGGGAAACCCATTAGAATTCGTCCACGGCTTCTAAGGAGGGAGTCCATGGGCTGCTTAGGGCCTAAGCAGTCAGATTAGGGTTTCCTAGTTTGAAACCCTAATAGCCTCACTATATAAGGAATCCCTAAGGCCCCAAAAACATGTGGAAGTAATGCCTAAGGGTTCTAGGACGTTTTTTTGGTGCCTCCTCCCTCTCTCCAATATCATCCTCTTGCTTGTGGTGTTTGTAAACCATTAGAGGAGTGACATTTGTGACTCTAAGCTCCAAGACAAGAAGATTCAAGCCATTGTAGAAGAGGTAATCATCTAGATCTGATTTCTTATGTAATTTCGAAATAGGTATGCTAGATCTAGGGTTCATAAGTCTTGGATGAATTGCATGTACAATAGAGAAACCTAGATCCAAGCTTTAGGGTTTGCATGAGCACATAGGATGTTCTTTTGGGTCAAACCCATCACTCCGTCCAGAGAGAAACTTGATCCTGTCTAAATTTCCACCACCATTTACAAAGAAACGCAAAATTGAGAGCTTGCAAACTGCCAATTTCTAAACCTCCTGATGCTTTTGAGCTCAAGACCTTATTCCAAGCAACCCACAAGATTTTTCTCTTATCCGAATTTCCACCCCAAAAGAAGTTACATCTGATACTTTCAAGCTTTTTTTTTTAATTTCAGTCGGTGCTTTATACAAAGAGAACATATAGGAACCAAGGTGTCCAAGAACCAATTTGCAAAGAACTAGCCTTCCGCCAAAAGAGATACATCGAGCTTTCCAAGAAGACAACTTATTTTGGAATTTATAAACCAAACATTGCCAATTGTTTTTTCTCGTCATGCTTTTTCCTACCGGTAACCCAAGAAATTGAAAGGAAGGTTTCCATCTATACAATACAACTCACTCGCTAAATACCCAACCTCCCGACTAGTAGCCCATATTCCCATAATTCTTCTCTTAGAAAAGTTTATGCTTAGACCATAGGAGACATGGAAACATCTAAGAAACCTCATTAGGTTTTTGGCATTTTCTATTGACCATTCTCCGAGAAACAAAGTATCATCTGTAAACTGGAAGATCGAGAGTTTGGACCATTATTAGGCAAATCTATTCCTTTATAAAACCCTTTTTCCATTGCTGCAAACAATGCCACTTTTAATCCTTCGACAACAATGATAAATAGAAACGGCGAAAGGGGGTCTCCCTGCTGAATCCCTTTTTGAAGCTTGAATTGTTTTGTTGTTGCCCCGTTGACCAATACTGATACTCTTGGCGATGAGATAATAGCTAACATCCAATTTCTCTATAACATCCCGATGTTGAGGTATTTTTAGTTTAACCCTATGTATGAATAAATATTGCATTTTAGTCCCTGAGTATAAAAAAGAGTGCAAAATGGATCATTGTGGCATTTTAGTAATTTTGGGCTAAGGGAAGTACGTTGGGTACCTTGATCATACTAGGGTGGACCCTAGTACGTTGGGCGTACACCGAGTATGCAGGGCGTACGTGGAGAAAGTTCAAACCCTAATTCTTAGGGCTTGGTCTTTATATAAGCATCATTATAGCCTCATTTATCATACCCTCATCAGCCCCATCTAAGAATTTGAACCTCTAGCAAAACCTAAGTGAGAAGAGTGTTTTGAGCTCATTTGTGTGCCTTTTTGGTGTTCTTAAAGAAGGAGAAGTTGGTGCAAGGACCTTGAAGGTTTGAAGCAACTTAGATTTGGGATTCCCCACTTGCTAGCAACCTCCTGGAGGTAAAAAGTTCATAACTTGATCACTATATCTTGTAGATCTGATCATTTCTTCATTTAGGGCATTTTTGGTCCCAAATATGGTGATTCTTGAGCATGACATGCTCTTAACCCAATACGTCGTCCTTTCAGACCTTATATGAGGGGTGTTGAGTCATAAAATGTGGTCTTGATGCTTAGTGTTACTCCATGCATGCTATAGAAGGTCTTAAGGCATTAAGATGTTGAGATTTTGTGTATTAAGCACTTAATGGACATGCAAACTCATAAAGTTGGAAACTTTATGACTCTTGATGGTATTTTAGCCTTGGATCTGCAATTGGACGTGTTAAGTCGAAGAAATAAGTACTTAATAGGTTAATAAATGGATTGTTGCGTACGTTGGGCGTACCGAAGGGTACGTTGCACGTACGCAGATCTGGCCCCGGCGCCTCGGACAGCTAGTACGCCCCGCGTACGAAGCTTGAGTCGACTCGGCTGAGTTGACTCGACTGTGTTGACTCGACTGTGTTGACTCGGTTAACTCGTTAATTTTGACCAGTTTTGACCAAGGGTATTTTGGGGAAATGTTATTAATTTAGAATGGAAGTGTTTTGACATTTAGGATTTGGGTTGAGCCGGTATTTGGGAGCAGAGTATCAATCAGCTATTCGTCAGACTGTGAGGTGAGTTTGCCTCACTGTACTTACGGGTCGAAGGCACCGAGGTCGGATCATTGGATTGATATCTTGGTTTAACATATGTTGCTATGCTGTAGTGATCTGTTAGATCTGTATCCTGGTATATAGGATGTTGTTATACTGTAATGTTCGGTTAGATCTGTATGGCCACCTGTATATGCTAGTTATTGATTGTTATGGTATATGTTGGTATGTGATGGTGTATCGGGTTGAGGCGGTCCTGCTTTGTGCTGAAGGCCAAGATATCCAGGGCGGTTCGGATAGACTGAAGGCCTGCGAGGCGGACCAGGCTGAAGGCTCGGAGAGCGGTCCAGATAGGTTGAAGGCCCAGTGAGGCGGTACAGTCATGTTGAAGGCTCTGTATGCATGATGTTGTTTGTTATGTTTATGTGGTGGTACTTTGGGGGAACTCACTAAGCGTTGACTTATAGTTTTAGTTTTGTTTCAGGTACTTCATAGGACCGTGGCAAGGCGAAGGCGTGAGCATACACATCATTGGTTTCATGTTGTTGATCTTGGGAGACTCTGTTTTTAGATAATGTTTTGGAAACAACGGTTTTGTAAACACTTCTTTTTAGTAAATGAGTTGTTTTGAAAAGTTTAAACTTGTTATGATTTTTGAGACGTTACATTCTCCATAACTCTCCAAAGCCTATCTGAACCATCATGTCATCCAAAAATTTCCAATTGAGATTATCAAAGGCTCTCTCAAAATCGAGCTTGAATATTATCATTTTCTTCTTCCTTTTTTTAGCCCACCTCACCACTTCATTTACCATCATAGGTCCTTCCATAATGTTTCTGCCCTTTACAAAGGCAGTTTGTTCTTTGCTTATAATCACGTGCAAAACCTTTTTAAGTCTCTTGGCTAAGGCTTTTGAAATCACCTTACTCACACATCCTATAAGGTTTATGGGCATGTAGTACGAAAGGTTTGAGAATCATATTTTCGACTATTCAAACGACACTCTCTTTATTTTAACCTACATCATGTTTCATATTTTTACCAAAAATGGACCCAAATGTTTCCATTTTTTGTGCCGCACCACCATGCACCATGGACAAGGAACTCACATTGGTATGTGCTTGGGTCGCAGTTTCAAATGATAATCAAATTGGTACCCCGCAAAGGTTTTCTACTTTTTGGAATCGCATTACGGATATGCTTCACAATGAAATGGATCGTGAACCCTATTGAACACACCACCAACTCAACTCAAAGTGGAAGGATTTATACTGAAAGGTGTCGAAGTTCAACGTCATCTATAACCTCTTAAATCAACATTTGAATGAATGATGGTGAATCTAATATTTTAGAGGCGGCTAAAGAGCAATACAAATTAGAAAATAACGGAAGGGACTTTTTCCATGAAGCAACTTGAATGTTCTTTAAACTTATGTTTTTAGTGATGTTTTTTAAGTAATTCTTAGCAATGTTTGTAGTTTATTAATATGTAATATTTATATATTTATTACTATGTAGTGTTGTTTTTATTAATGAATCATGTTATATTTATTTTTATGTTTATTTTGTAAGTAAAATGTTTAAATTAAAAAATTATTATTTGTATCAAAAAATTAAAGTGGCTTTGACATGGTACATAATGGAATTGTGGAGAGTAGAGAGTATATTACATAACCAAAGTGAATGAGTAGAGATGATTTTGGAACAGAAAATGCAAGTGGATATCGAAATGCTGTGGAGATGTTTTACTATGATTTTGATTTTTTTTTTTCATTGATGGCTAGTGTTTTTGGTTTATTAATAATCTTGGAGGAAAACATTTTGTTCCTCATCTTTCATCTAGTTGAAGAGGATAAGCATGTTGCATGAATCTGGAAGGGGCACAAGACAATGTATTTGTCAAATCATTCAAAATTTATTTTTTGATATCTAAATCTAAAAATATCTGGAAAAAAAATTACTTCTTCCTTTAAAATCATCATTCTGTTTTTGATGAATATGAGTTTCATCTTGTTTGGATTTTGGGTTTCATCTGATTGGAGTTGTAAATCTTGGTCAGAAATTCAAAACTTTGATATAGATAACACTTTCCAACACCACACGAAAGCCAATTTCCGACATATATGATCATTAATCAAAGAGCTCTATTGATTTATGTGTACGATCAAACATTATACTTTCCAACAAAATATGATGTACTGAAAGATGTAAAAAAACTATACCACGTTAATTTAACCATATGTACAAAAACTAGAAACTGTCATGTGGCTTTACATAACTCAAAATCAGGAATCTACCTATAAAAAGTTAATAAAAAACCAAGAAAACTATTATACTGCTGCACATATCTAATATTGCTTAAAAAGAATATAAGAGCTGCACCGGCAGCGGTTACCATCTTCCACAATTGTGGGTACTGCCTTCTGTCTCCAACTGTCAGTGTCGCAGCCCGTGGTTTTTCAGTCTCATTTGCCACAATCTTTTCATCGTTCACTTTGTTGTCACCAACTGTCCTCTTTCTTTCCTTTCTTCTTAACCGTTTTTCCCTCACCTACACAAACTCAGATCGGTTACATTTTGCCAATAAAATAATTTTACATGTTTTTTCAGTCCGGGGACATTGTGATTTATCACCCCATGTTAACTGTGGGGTGTTTTAACTTTTTATATGTTTGTGTGGTCAATGTGTACATGTATGAACCAAAACCTTTTCTATAACGCAAAAGAAAAATAAAATGAAAAAAAAAGACATTTAAACGTTACCTTCTGTCTCTGCTCGGCTTCCCTTTGAGCTCGTAACTCAGCCCGTTTTTGGGCATTTTCAGCATTTCGTGTCTTCCTCTCGATTGCCTCGTTCATTTTTCTCTTTTCCTCCAACCGCACTTGCTCTTTCAAATTGCATTCGATCTCTTTTTTACTTAGTTCATCTTCCTTCTTATCAACCTCCACCATAGTTTTTTCCATTTCTTCGTCCTCCGTTATCTCACTCAAACAAATGAACTTTGAATCTCTTACTACAAATTTAACTGGTTTTGTGGTTTTCATTATACGATTAGTCTTTCTAGCCACTTTCCAGATAGTTTGGTTCTCAGGGGTTGAAGTCGTCTTTTTCCTTTGTTCTACTTTTGAAACCAATGAAACGGATTCGGTTTCACTTGAGATAGAAACTGAATTCGTAGCAATTCTTTCGCAGATATCACTCACACACGAAACGGTCTTTTTTCCTTGTTCAACTTTTGAAATTACTGAAGTGGGTTCCAATTTACTTGAGATAGGAACTTCTTTCACAGCAATTCTTTCATTCATATGACTCTCAAGCGAAGTTTCAACAAGTGTACTTGGTGTGGTCCTACTAATGTAGTCTTTCCTAAATTCTTCATTTGAGTTCGATTCTTCCATTATTTTTTCCACCTAAAGTAATTATAGAACATGTTAGACACAAACCACATACTAAATATGAAATTAGAATATCGAGAAGATAAGATAACGAACCTGATTAACACACGGGTGATGAAGTGCAACTTTATCTCCACCAGATGCACAATTCCTTGCTGCAGTCGCATCTTCTTTGTACATATAGAAAAGTTTTTTCTGCAGATTCAATCATCAGAAAATTATAATTATTATATTATGTTTCATTTTGTGTAAGATGCAAAAATTTACAACAAACCTTGTCATATAAACGTTTCTTCAAACTATATAAATGTGTATAAGCTTGTTGGCAGACTTCTTCTGCAACGTGGAATCGAGCTCGTAGTTCTTTTCCCTTTTCGTATTCTTCATCATATATTTTTCCTATTACTAAGGCAGCCACTTCAGCTTTTAAAACACTATCTTTTAAAGAGTCAACTTCCTCCGCTATATTCTGCATTGAATAAAAAATGGACCAACTTTTAGGAAATCTAACAGCCCTTTTAGCCTCCCTGTTAGCCGTTAGGGAAGCATTATTGTCAATCAAATAAAATTCAAGCTATACAATAATGAGATCCTGGCAATAAGTTGTCGAACTATAACAAAATTTGATGATCACTGTAGCTCTAGAAGAAAGAAATAAAAATGTAGATTATGTAGTATATAAATAAAATAGTGATTGATACACGTACATTCAGGAGCTCCTTTATTTTCTTTTTCTGGTTTTGAATCTCTATCATGTGCTCCACTTTATGCATATGCTTCAAGAACAAAAACAAACCATGAGTTAGAATATAAAGTAATGCATGATAGAAAATTGGCTACTATATTGTATTTTGGGTAGAAAAAGGAATGGAATCAATAATCATAACATCATACCGAGTTATCTATATCTTCAGCCTTCCTGACTTGTTTCATCAAATGTAGAATAGATTCTAAATCTGACCGCTTTGATTTACGTAACTTCTTTGCAGCTGTTACCTCCAAGTATGCATTTTTGAGTGCCTCGTTATCGGCTTTCAATATTGCCTATTCAAGGAGAAATCAAAGTACTTATACGAGTATATAATATTAAACTTTATAATAAAACATGGTATTAAAGACTTACAAAACTCTTACCCTATTCTCTTGAATTTCAGCCCAGATTGCATATCTGCACCTTATCTTCTCATCGAGTTGCAACTGAGCATTTTTAATCTGCTCCTTGAGCTCTTCATCATCAAATCTTGGAACCCTGTTATATGGTTGAACCACATCATTCATGCAGTGAGTCGCCTTGTCAGCACTTTTGTTTTGTAAATCATCAAGAATTGTGTCGGGAGTGTTAATGTTGACTCCACGTATGGGTTCAGCCTCCCTGTTCAAGACTTCCAACACAAGATTTAGGTTATTAGGATCTTTCTCATGAACACCGAATGAACCAAACTGAAACTTTATTTCAGGGCACTCAAATGTATCTGGGAAGATTAATATGGGTTTCTTTACTTCAAATTCATTTTGTTTATCATCAAGAACATCAACACGCTGATGCTCTGTAACTTGAGGAACCCCATGTTTTTCTAATAATATATCCCCATTCTTGTTTTCTGACTTCCCATATTCGGTAGCAGGCTGTTGGGTATTTGTTTGAGTTTTATCAACACTCACTTCTACCAACTGTGAAATTGTAGTCTCATCTCTAATTTGATCATCGATAGCTTCTGTCTCAAATTGTTCAGTCTCGTTGGTCATTTGTGTTGCATAATCTGGGCTCAAAGTATCTTGAACAGTCTTGATTACATTAGTAGTAGACAACAAAAACCGAGAGGCTGTGTCTTGGGATTTTGAGTCCTCCAATGGTTGAGAAGTCTCAGTTGGAATCAGACTACAGTCTGTGTTGGTTATTTTCCCAGAATCAAGATCAATTGTTTCCCCTACTACATTTTCTGACCCATTTACCTTCTCCACTTCAAGATGATTCCCATTTGTTTCACTTTTAATATTCACTTCTCCGTTGACACCTTTCACCTGACAATCCTTTGCAGTTGCAGACTCAAGATCAATGGAATCAGTCTCCAATCCAGAGACTTCGTTTCGAAAACCCTTGTCAACGATCACCTCAACATGTCCAACGAGAATATCAGAATCACCAGAAAGAAATTTACCATTCTCAGTTCCAACCTCATATACACCGGCCATTATGAAACAGTCACAGTTTGTTTCCAGAAAAAGAATAAGCAGCAATAAAATAAAGATCGTCGAATACCTACAATCAAATATAAGAGGGGTTAATTACGACTTACGATTCAAATAATTCGTATACGATGAGGGATGAGGGGTGATCACCAGCAATGAGCGTAAAAATAGGAACGAAGAGTTGGATGAAGAACACGCGGGAGAGGAGTCTCTATCCTTTCTTATAATTTTCTCTGTATTTTGTTTTTGGAAAGCAACAATGTATATCCTTAGTATATTTATTTAACTTCTTTGTAATTTAAAGTTTTGAATTTATATTATCCGTATTTATAATTTATATTCTTCAACGACCTTTTTGAATTCATCCACATAATTCTGAAGTGAACTGACTATTATGCCCCTGAGTTAAAAATAAAGAGATGAGAGAGAAACCCAATGATTTGTTTCCAAACACGCCACACGCCTCCTTCTTCTTCTCCTTCGGCGCAACAATCATCCTTCAGCACTACAATCTTCAGCATAACATAAGGTAAATATAAATATTATAAGTTATTTAATTTTGTAATCAATCCACCATCCATTTTACTAAATAAGAGAAAATAAAGATTGCTCTTTCTAATTAAGTTGTTGCAATCTTTCGGCGCTACATCAAAGTGGATGTTGGCAAGAATGGATGACTGCCTGCGGAAACCGATGTACTTGCACCTGATCAAAAGCCAAGAGAAAAGTCTACAGCAAAGACTTCATGAGGATCCTAAGCAGCAGGGGCAAAAGGGTCTGTAAACTAAATACTTCATGCCATGATGGAAACCAAGAAATAATCTTGATACTCCATAGCTCCACCAACCACAACCAGTTTGAAACTACAACTTGTAATGGGGAATCACAGCTGGGCAAAAAACAACCAGCCAAAACCAATATGCAAATTTCAGCAAGTGGATTCTCATTCTCTGCCTTTCGGGGTAATAACGAGACCATCTGATCAACTGTTCCAAAAACCAAATATAAATTCCTTCCATAATAACTGCCATGTAACTGAGTCGACCATACTTGACATAAACAAACCCAACAATATGCTGTAGGTTATGGCTTTTTACACACACAAAAAGAATTGAAACCACACAAAGACCTAACCCCAGCCCAGTGGGACACAAAATAATTACAAAAATGAAAAGAAAAGGGATCTGTGACTGTATTGCTCAAAATTCCCATATGAAGCCAACCGAAAAGATTTTGATGACGAAGAAACATAATTATGATGATTTATGGACCGAAGCTTAGCTGTTTAAAACTCCAGAAAATACGAATGAACAAAGTAAAAAAAAAAAAGATATAAATTGTCTATACTGTGAATTTTAACCAGCTCCAAAAGAAAGAAACCTGGGTGGATAATAATAATAATAAATAAATAAATAAAGCGTGAACAAATTTCCGGAAAGTATTCAAATGCGTTTTTTTATTTAAATGGGGGCATAATTGTCACTTATCCATAAAATTATGTGGACAAATATAAAAAAGTTATGGAAGAATCATCACCTTTTTATAATATATCTATTTTTTATTATTTTGTTTTAATTTATGATCATACTCCATTTTTATTTTTATGTTTATCTCAAATATTAGAGATATTATACAAGAGATCTTTCGGATGCCATCCTATATTTTTCTCTCTTTCTTTTTTAATGGAGATCAATATGCAAAAATATATTGGGATAATGACTTGATAGGGTACATTTAGTCCTTATTATTATTTTTTTTGTAAAATAAACTCTTATACTTTATTTTTTGTAACAATGCAATCCTTGTGACCAGCTATACCCGGTATACCGGTCATATACGAATTTTCTTTTAGGGAAAATGACTTGATAGGGTAAGATACTTTTTGAATTGTACACATTTAGTCCTTATTCTTTTTTTTGTAAAATAAACCCTTATACTTTATTAATATGTACACATTAGGTCCTTTTCACCGGATTCTACAGGTTTTGCTGATGTGGAAGCACAAGTGACACTAAATAGCAATTAATTAGCTTAGTCATCGGAGGTGAGTGATCCTCCAGCAACAAGAAAAGGGTGGCGACCCTTCTCTTTCTCGTCTCTCTTCCTTCCGGTCGAACAGCAACAACCAAACACCCTTTACCTGTTGTGTTTCTCCGATCTGTCTCTCTTTGCCTCCATCTTTGAGATATGTTGCCAGAAAAAGAAGAAAGAATCGATGAGGGGGCTACCAGAGCAGCTCCTCGCCGCCAACTACCGTCTCTACTTCCTCCTGCCTCCCCCTTCAACCTTGTTGTTTTTGCCATCATTCCTCCTTACTACCAGTGATGTGTAGGAACACACAAAGGAGTCGTCGGAGATCGGGTTTCTCCCTCTTTTCAATGATGAATAAAAGTTGGAAAAATATCGTTGTGGATATGTGGATGCCACCTGTGTATTTCATTTCAACAAAATAAAAGAAAGGGAAAATGACTTGATAGGGTAAGATACTTTTTGAAATGTACACATTTAGTCCTTATTCTTTTTTTTTTGTAAAATAAACCCTTCCACGTCAGCAAAACCTGTAGAATCCGGTGAAAATGACCTAATGTGTACATATTAATAAAGTATAAGGGTTTATTTTACAAAAAAAAAAGAATAAGGACTAAATGTGTACATTTCAAAAAGTATCTTACCCTATCAAGTCATTATCCCAAATATATTTGTCAACCGTTACCATTATCCAATTTTCATACAACGTTTATTAATCTTAGTTAACAAATAAATAAATATCTACTCTAATAAATGAATTTTTTTGCCATATGTTACATTCTCATTCAATTTACCAAATGTCATTTTGTAGTTATTTTGGATTAATTTCTTTTCCACATGTCATTTTATGGGTTTTTCTAATTTAATAAATTTCACATAATACTTTAATGTAATAATTACAGTAAATGTACTAATAAATGAATATCAATTTCATTAATGGACTTACATTCTTATTTTAAAATTTCCAAATTAAAGTTCATTAGTTTATTTTGTTTATTTATTTAAATTTAAAAGAAAAAAAATCAATTTTAATATTTCATTATTTTTCTTATTTTCTTATAAATCCAAAGTTCTTAAATATTTAGACATTTATATTTTTTTTTTAATTAACCTAATACATGGGTCTTACACCTAGTTGTATAATATAATAAAAATAGTAACATACATTGTCCTTAAAGCACGGTCTCTCCCTTTATTAGACCGGAAGGTATATGTGTCATTTTTAACGTCATCTCATTTCACCCTCACTCTCCTAATTCTTCAAAATCTAAGAAATAGTCAACTTTCATTTCATCTTATTTTTTTATTTTATTTTCAAATATATTTTATGTAACATCCCAAAAATTCATGACAAAAATTCCATTTTTGATATAACGATTCATAAACAATTTATAGAAAACATCATCAAGTTATTTCATTTCATAAAAACCATAGATCATATGTCTCAAAAGCATGTCATAATATAGTAACAATGTCAGAATACAAATCCCAAAAATCTCATATGCGGAAAATCGTGTGTGTGATGCGCTGCTACCGTGCCGGCTCCTTTCCCTTCGAAGAGAAAGTACCTGAAACCAAAACTGAAAACTGTAAGCACAAAGCTTAGTGAGTTCCCCCATCATACCACATACCATACATACAATAAACATATAGTGGGCTCCGCCCGTCATCGAGCCCCGCCCGACATCAAGCTGAGCTTGGTAAAATGGTCCCGCCCGATCCCGTTTGTGAAGAAAAAGGACAGGTCACATCGGATGTGTATAGACTACCGGGAGCTGAACAAGGTAACAAAATTTTATACTCTGATTATAATGTACATGTTTTATTTAAGCAGTTAATTGATGATCCTTTAATTATAAACAAAACGAAATTTTATGTCAGTATTTTTGGGTTGTACAATTAAATCTCACCTCGTGAGATCAATTTGACAGAAAAAATTTTTGTTTTTTTTTCAAGTTCAAGCAATGTACATTCAATTGTTAAACAACCATACACTCTGATACCACTGATGGGTTTTACATGTATTAACGCGGATAAATTCATAACACTTAAGGGTACATGCAACCTATTAGATTTGTGTCATAACACTATTGAAGTAACATTCTATTGACCAACAAGAAAACTATGAACCCTAGGTATTTTCGAAATTGACAAACAAAATAGAAATTACATACCTTTTTTATTGTTGTAGTAAACAATCAAAAATCCTTTCTTCTTTGATTTGGAAGCTAGCACCACAAGTGTCGTGCCTCTAATGGTTCACACCCAAACCCTAGCAACCAAGGAAACATGAAGAGAGAAATGAGAGATATTAGAATTTCGGCTATCCTTAGGTCTAGAAGACATGACCGAAATTGCTAGGTATAGGGATCCTTATATAATGCAACTTGGAAACCCTATATAACCCTAATTATCCTCCAAAGATAATTCTACATTTCTAATTATCTTCCAAGGATAACTCTAGGAACTTTAGACCATCCTAAAACCGTCCAAGGCTATAGGAAGGTTCTGAAATGCTTATTGTTCAACTATTGAACAATTACACTTTAACCCTTGTACTTTTAATTAGTCTAATTAATCCCAAAATTAATTCCAATTAGTTTCTTATTAATTCTTAATTAAATAACAATATTTCTAATTAATATATTATTCTCACAATATATTAACAAATCATTTATTTTGATTTTTAATTAATTTATCAATCATATAACAAATTAATAAATCAATCTCTCTCTCTCTAAAAGTTAATCTATTCAATTACTAGGTTTGAGGGCAACCCAAAAAGACTGTGCTACCATCAATTCAAGTATATGCCAATTATAGTAATGAACTTATACACCTAATCCATAACTTAATCCATGAAGCCTTGAACTCTAACTTTTCAGAAGGTCTTATAACTCCTTAATACACTTGAAAGTTAACGCTTTTAAGACATATATGTCCAATACATGTCTAGATCTCATTTGGGTCAAACTTGAAGAAAAAGATATCCAACTTTCATGCAAGGTTCCAAAACCCAACCATTCACTAGATTTGAAATCCATAACACTCTTAAGGCCCTTATAACCCATAAAGTTGCCAACTTTATGGTTTCCATCCATTCAAACTTGTCCAACCAAGGAGGAAAGTGGGACAAAACTTAGATATATCCTCAAATAACAATAAAAGAGGAAGCTTTGACACTTACAAGTGTCCATAAATAATGTAAGGTGATGATGATGATGATTCATTGCAATCCTCTTCAAAGATCACATTCTTTTTTTTTCTTTTCTTTTCTTCTCCAAACCAAGAATTTCTCCAAAATGGCCAAGAATCAAGCAAAGAATGAAGGTTAGGGTTTTCTGAGGTGAAAGAGGGTTTGGAGGCTGATAATGAACCCTAAAATGGGTTTAGAGGTGCTTAAATATGAAGGAAACCCTAAAAGATCATGGACTTGAGCTGCATAAGCTCTCACGTCGTGAGCCTCTATGTCTCATGTCGTGAGACCAGTCCCAAACAAAAGTTTTCATATTAACTCATCTCACGTCGTGAGCCTCTATGTCTCACGTCGTGAGACTCATTTTCTTCCAAAATCCAACCTTTTGAGTCCTTGAAACCCTAATTCGATTCATCCTGGAAAACGGGTGTTACATTAAATGAGTTTATAAACCAAAAATTAATATTATACAGTACTATTGTTTCTCTTAGAATGTCGAAACACTTTTAATATGTAAATAATGTTTAACATAGGTTCTTACAAAATTAAAAAATCTTATTTACTTTATTTATAAAAAAATCATCCTTTACTAATACGTGTATCTTTTTTTACTAACTGAGAAGCTTAACCGGTGCACTTAGTATTAAAATTTAGATGATTTTTAACTTTTGATAATTATAGTTTAGAAAAATTAAATCTTTCAATTTTAGTTAATGTTTATATGCTATTTTCTGTGATTTTACATATTTCAAAACTTCCAGTTATTTGTGTTGAACATTCTTATATAAATAAAATTTATAGCTCCCAACTATCGGTTATCCCCTTCTAATTTTCATCTACCAGCTACCAACTTTCAATTATTGTTGCCAAACATGCCCATAAATTTATATCAAGCTTTTCTTTATCTTTTGAGAATGACTTATAAAATAAAAAGTTTTTGAAAGAGGGCATAAATTTTTGAGATGACCTATTTAAAAGGTAAAAAACATGTATCGAAGATGCTTTAATAAGATAACTCTTTTTCCAAACATTATCGATATAGATTGGGTTTTAGGGATTTTCATATATTAAATTGATTATTTATAAGGCTGAACGGAGTCGTGCAACGCCTACCAACTCCACATCATAAAAAATGGGGGGAAGAAGTTCGAAAGAAGAAGCGAGGGAGAATAGAAGGGTGGTATGCTGAGTGGGAAAGAAGGAAGGAGGAAGAAGGGAGAAAGAAGAAAGAGACTCGACGCATTTCTACCGAGTTTGGGCTCCGAGCTCGACATGCCGAGTTCCTGGCCCAGTATTTACCGAGTCCACATCAGATCTGCCGAGGGTCGCCGAGTCTTACTCTGCCCAACTTAAAGCTATAGAAATAGGGTTGTAAACGAACTGAACGTTCGACAAACTGTTCGTGAACTGTTCAACGGGAAGTTCGTTTATTTAATAAATGAACAAACATGAATAAAAATTTATGTTCGTTTAGTTAAACGAACAAACATGGACAATGACATCTTTCCTTCAATTATGTTCGTGAATGTTCCTTTACGTTCGTTCATATAAGTTCATTTTATGTTCATATAAATTCTTAATTATGTTTGATTATATTACTATATTATATGGTCATTGATGTTTATATATGTTCAATTATGTTTGTTTATCTTTGTTCATTTACGTTTGTTCGTTTATATTCCGTTAGCATGTTCACGAACATATACGAACGAACATGAACAATGTAATTTGTTAAACGAACGAACAAGAAAAAACTCGTTCCTTTATCCGTTTGTCTTCGTTCATTTGTTCAGCTAACTTAAACGAATGAACATGAACTAGTCCCGCTTCGCTTCGTGTTCTTTCATTTTGTTTATATAGAAACACTTTCATAGACCCGACCCGACCCGGAGCACATGAGGAACACTGGAAGTCTCAAACGGTCAAACATTCAAACTATCTCGTCCGCATCCTTCTCTGAAACTGCATTCTGCAGCTCCTCCACTCGTCCCGGCCGGCCGCCACCTGCTGCAGTCGTATTTTCGTCTCTACATCCCATCACATAGAAGACTCTTTTTCTGTCTGGCTTCCTCGCATCCTCACTATCGCACACTTGTATCGCACAGTGCGTTGCCCTAAGCGGATCCTGAATGGCAAGTGTCGAACTTTCGCTTCCAAAATTTCTTACTACTATTGACTAAATTTTCATTTATTATCACCAATTTACATAATCACCATAGTCTAAAGAGGAAGAGAAAGAGAATTGGGTTCTTCAAACTTTGAAACCCTAATAAAATTGCTGTAATTTCAGCTCACTTATTACTGTTAACTTAAGCGTTTTCTTATTGCTCGAAGGGTTTGATATCGTAAATTGTATAATTTGCATGGGTTCTTAATTGTCTTTGAAATTCGGAGCATTTTGTGCTCTTTAAATGACGGTTTACTAAGTGCATTATGCTCGTCATTTGTTTTTTAACTCTTATGATAAAAACTTGTGTCAATAATCATTGAGTTGTTGGCATCAAATTAGCAATTGTGTATAGGTATTCCACCCGTCTGTCATTACTCATTATGTATGAAGCTGTATGCTTATGTTTATCAAGCGTGTTCTATTTCTTGTGGGATAATGATTATGTATCTCATATCTTATTTCATCTCAATTTTAATTTTAGGCTGAAGAAATGGACAGTCAAGAAGACTCTGTTTTCACACAGTTAACGGAAGCTGTTGCTGCCAACCCGGATGACCCTTCCCTCCATTTTAATCTTGTAACAAAATCTTTAACCTCTTCACTGAATATAACTTAAAATTCTAGGTTTCATTTTAATATGTTTTGTAATGAATTCAGGGTTTGTTCTTGTGGGAGGGGATTGGGTCAGAATCTAAGGAAAAGGCAGCAGAGCATTTTGTGATTGCAGCAAAGCTAAACCCACAAGATGCAAATGCTTTTAGGTATTTGGGTCATTATTATAGCAAAGTTTCAGTTGATACTCAGAGAGCTCTCAAGTGTTATCAGAGGGCTCTCACTCTTGATCCTCAAGATTCTGAATCTGGGGTTAGTCTTATTCTTAACTTCTCACCTATCTTTATACATTCGTTTGATTTCCTTTTTTGTTTATTTATGTTTTCCTGTTGCAAGATTTTTCCAACCCATTCAAGTTTATTGATTTGGACCTAATTCTTCATAAAGATTCCACTAAGATCTATTTCAAAACTCAAAAGTGCAAAATTATATACACATATAGATGGTAAAGAATTCTATATTGTGTCCCATTGTTTGCAGGAATCAATGTGTGATTTGTTGGACAAAGAAGGAAAAGAGAGCTTGGAGGTTGCTGTCTGCCGTGAAGCTGCAGGGAAGTCGCCAAGGGCATTTTGGGCATTTCGTAGGCTTGGTTTTCTACAGGTGTTTCATCATCTTCTTTGCTTATCTTTTTTTCCATTTCTGGCTTAAAATTTGGGCCCCAACTCCCACATGTTTTCCATTGACATTTAGGTATTTTTTGCAGGTCCATCAGAAGAAATGGTCTGAGGCAGTTCATAATCTTCAGCAGGCCATTAGAGGGTATCCTACATCTGCAGATTTATGGGAAGTATGTACTTATTATACCCTTCTCTTGTTGGTATTACTCAAGATTGCTCCCTCATTTTTGTCTTTACTTTAGGCTTTAGGTCTTGCATATCAGCGATTGAGCATGTTCACAGCAGCTATTAAGGTACTTTTCCCCTACGAATGTTCATTTCTCCCTCATTTGTGGTTTGACCACTTACATACATTTGACTTCTTTTTTCATTGCATAGTCATATGGTCGAGCTATTGAGTTGGAGGAGTCACGAGTATTTGCAATGGTTGAGAGTGGATATGTCTTCTTGATGCTTGGTTCACATCGAAAGGTAATATTTTGCCACATGTAGTTGCAACTAACTAACATTCCTTGTGTGATTCTGCTATTAGTTCAGTTAATTGTAGTTTGCTTCTCACTTACTCCCTTATACCTATAATCTTACTTAATTGATCATGGTCATAACTTATAACAATACATCTAATGTATATTTCACTAACTAGCTCTATGGGTGAAGGGAGTTGAGCAGTTTCAGCAAGCTTTACAGATATCACCTGAAAATGTAGCTGCACACTATGGACTTGGGTGTGGGCTTCTTGAGTTATCAAAGGAATGTATAAGTTCAGGTGCATTTAGATGGGGAGCTTCAATATTAGAGGTAAAATAATTCCAATACTTGTGTCAAGTTTAATACAAAACATCTAAAAAAACTCTTTATAAATTTTTAGGAGGCATCAAAAGTTGTTAAAACTGGTACTTTCTTGGCAAAAAATGTTTCATGCATGTGGAAGTTGCATGGTGATATTCAGGTACGCCCATATTTTTTTTTATCTCGTTATGAAAGTTCTGTTATGTATGGTGAACTTGGTATATGACATTTTTGCCCTTGCTAGCTTACATATGCGAATTGCATCCCATGGATTGATGAAGACCATGTCTTAGAAACAGAGAAAGCTTTGACTGATTCCATTCTTTCATGGAAAAACGCATGTTCTTCAGCTGCACTGAGTGCCAGGCGTTCATATCAACATGCTCTACATTTGGCTCCATGGCAAGCTAACATCTACACAGATATTGCCATCACTATAGATGTCATAAACTATTTTAAGGAGGAAAACAAACATGATGCTATCCAAAAGTAGGTACTTTCACTTGTGATCTTGTAACCCAATTAAATCTTGTTTAGGTACAAATTTTCTTTTCCTTTTCATGTGCAGGCAATTACCTGAGAAAATGATTTTAGGTGGTTTATTACTCGAGAGCTCCAATAATGAATTCTGGGTTGCACTAGGATACTTATCACATCATGTTGAGTTAAAGCAACATGCTTTTATCAGATCATTGCAGTTAGATGTATCATTAGCTGTTGCATGGGCATATCTTGGGAAGGTAGACCTTACATTGAGTAAATCTCCTAATTTTTTTTTAATCGTCAATGAAGCTAGGGCTAAATGTTGACATTGTACAGCTTTATAGAAAACAAGGTGACAAGAAATTGGCACAAAATGCATTTGATCGTGCAAGGAGTATTGATCCTTCACTTGCATTACCATGGGCTGGCATGTCAGCAGATATGTCCATTAGGCAAGTTCATCTCTTTTTTCAAAACCAATAATAGCAATGTACTTTTCACCTGTATTTAAATAGTTTCTTTTCTCAGGGCACTTAAGGCAGATGAAGCTTATGATTGCTGTTTAAGAGCTGTTCAAATACTACCTGTACTCTCTCTCTCTCTCTCTCTCTCTCTAGTTTTGTCAAGAAGTGTTCTGAAAACACCATTTTTGTGCAGCTTCCAGAATTTCAGATGGGTCTTGCAAAGCTTGCTTTACATTCTGGTGAACTTTCATCTTCAGAGGTACTTGTTATATGCAAGAAAAGGGTCATAGTCTTACAACGGGTCCCACATTCATAATTACACTTACATACCCTCATTTGTCACAGGTATTTGGACCCATAAGCCAGGCTTTGCATCATGCACCCCAGTATCCAGAATCTCACAATCTTCTAGGGCTTGTTTGTGAGGCAAGATGTGATTATCCATCTGCTATTACATCTTATAAGTTAGCACGTTATGCAGTCAACACTTCTTCTTGTGACGCCTCAAAACTCCTTGATATATCAATTAATTTGGCAAGGTCACTCTGTAAGGTAATTATTTAATTTCCTTTCTTATATATTATATATTTTCACAATACATTTAAAATTTTATGCCTTTATTTTACATTGATGCAGGATGGTAAAGCTTATGAGGCAGTGCAAGAATGCGAAGAACTAAAGAAGAAAGGTTTGAATCTTCATGCATCTTTTTTATTTGCCCACTTTTTTTTATATATATGTTAAGGAAAAACAACTGTTTTTAAAAATCAGGTGTTCTGGATTGGGAAGGTTTGCATATATATGCTTTATCTTCATGGATACTTGGGAAGAATGATCAGGCTTTGTCTGTGGTGAGGATTTTAGCTGCAGGTGTTAAATCATTGGAACCACAAAAGGCATCCACCTCCATAAGCTTTATATGTAGATTACTTTACTATATTTCTGGTCAAGAGGCAGTGATGACAAGCATTTTAAAAATGCCAAAAGATTTATTTAAAAGTTCAAAAGTTAGTTTTGTGGTATCTGCTATTCATGTTCTGGATCAAAGCAATCAGCTTGAGGCAGTTGTTTCAAGTAGCCGATCTTCTCTCATAAGTCATGATGAAATTACTGGAATGCATTTTTTGATAGTATTAAGTAAATTGGTACGTTTTCCTAACCCATATTTTTTTTATTTATTTAGCATGCCAAACTTGAATATGTAATGAATTTATAATTTGTTTTTGCAGGTGAAAAATGGTTCACAGCATTGCTTGGGAATTCAGAGTGGAATCGATCACCTTAGAAAAATCCTCCATAAGTACCCCAACAGTTATTTTCTAAGGTAAATCATGATTATTATACTCTATGTTCTGAGTTATCCATCATTCCTAAGCTTCTGATAATCAGTAATCTGATTAATTTCTATCTAATCTTGTGAAAATTTCTAACAAAAGTTTGCTGCTAACAGGAATGTTCTTGGTTATCTCTTAATATCTAGCAAAGAACAAAAAGATGCACACTTGTCCACTAGATGCTTTACTGTAAGAAGCAGCCAATCAGAGTGTCTAAAAGAAGAAGGTCTAAAACGTGCACCTGAAATCCTTGGTGCAAGTACAGTTGCTTGCTACACCAACAATAAACACACCTTTCCCACCTGTAAAGACCAATCTACCCCTCAACACGGATCATTCAAACTATTACAAAAGTACCACACTTTCAATCTTTACCCTTTACGATAATTTACTTCTAATCCATGAAAAAAAAGCTTATACCACTCTAATTTTTACAGGTGGTGGCATCAAGAACCATGGAATAAAAATGCAAGATACCTTTTAATCCTCAACTACATTCAAAAAGCACGTGAAGAGAGATACCCTCAACATATAAACACAGGACTCGAAAAGTTAATTAATTTAGCTCTTTCAGACGAATCCCTATCCTGCCCCTATCAAAAGTTCCAGCTGTCACTCTGTGCATCTGAAATAAGTTTACAAAGTGGGGACCACGCTAACTGCATAAAACATGCTAAAAAAGCTTCAAATCTTTCTATCCCAGATGACTATCTCTTCTTGGCACACTTGCAATTATGTCGGGCATATGCTGCAGAAAACAACCATGTCAGCTTACATGAAGAGTACACAAAATGTATAAATTTGAGAACCGATTATCATATCGGTTTAATTTGCCTCAAATATATTGAATGTCAATATGGTCTACAAGGAGATGAGAATATAAATATAATCGAATTGAGATTTGAAGAATGTTCTAAAGATATAAAATATTCATGGAATGTATGGACAGCTGTATGGAAAATGGTCCAGGGGTTGATTGCGGTTTCAAATCGTGATTTTGTTGGTGCAGAAGAGTTTTTTGCATATGCGTGTTCGTTAAACGGTTCTGAGAGCTGTTTGTTTTTGTGTCATGGTATTTATTTATTTGTCATTACTAATTATGTAAATTTTTTGATGGGATTATACATTTTTACATATGACACTGGTTTACAGGTGCCATTTGTATGGAACTTGCGAGACAACAATGCAACTCGGATTTCTTGCTGCTTGCTGTTGGGAGTTTGAAGAAAGCTAGAAACAATTGTCACACAAGTTTACCTATTTTGCAACTTTTATTAGGGCAAGCAGAAGCAAGTCTTGGATATAAAGGGCAATGGAGTCAATACCTGAAGTTTGAATGGTCATCTTGGCCTCCAGGTTTGGATTTTCATTATTTACTACTGGTTACTGAACGGTGTGCAAAAGACGTAAATGCCCTTGTCATTCTGATTGTTGAAAATAGCTGACTTTGTTTGCTTTTTGTTATGGATGTTGATAAACAAACATATGTGCAGAGATGAGGCCGGGGGAGATTTTTCTTCATATGCATTTGGTTTCAAAACAGTTGCAAGAAGGTGGCTACTCTGCATCAAGAACAATACATGGTAAAAATCCATTGAGATGGATTCTACAAGCGATACATTTGAATCCATCTTGTTCAAGATATTGGAAAGCTTTACAGAATCCGTAAATACCTTACTTTACTTATGTTGGCGTGTCAGATTTTAGACAAGTGTGTTTGGTAAGTGCATTTGTTCGAATGATTTACAACATGTAAAACCGAGTCTATGGAATCTGAGCTTAAAGTAAACACGATAGTTGTTGATTATTAATATATATATTATTTGCGTTGCATGAAAGGGAAAATGGATGACTTGGCATTGATTCTCGTTTGTTTGATTGGGTGAAAATTAAATTTGCTGGTATGATTTTGCATTGCTTAATAAAACTGATTCTGATTCCTTATTTTGATTTTTCTGCTCTGCCCTTTTTTGGGATAAAAAATCTGAAATTATTTAACTGTGTTTTATAATTGTCTGATTTGTTCTTCAAAAAGTCAAGCCCTTTCAATCCGTTTCAATTTGTAATATTGTTTCAATATAGCATGGCATGACATCTTTACAAGGTCTAAATCTTATACCTGTTAATCAAACATCAAATAAATTTTGTTGGGTAAGATTTCAACTCATTTAAGTAACATGCTAACCTAGCATTAAATAAACTGTTTTGAATAAGAGATTTCAACTCATTTTAAGTAAAATGCTAACGTAATATTAAAAAAAATGTTTGGATAAATGATTTCAACTCATTTAAGTAACCTCCTAACCCAACATTAAATAAATTGTTTTTGGTAAGAGATTTCAATTAATTTAAATGACATGGATTTTTAAACCTAGAACGACACTATATGTTTACCATACCTACACGTCTACTTGTCAAAATTTGCAAGTTAACTCAAGCTCTTAAAGCTTTTGCAATTTAAACACTCATATCATATTTAGTTTTAAAAAAAAAAATTCGTACATTTAGCTTTAGGAAATCAGTTCTACACTTTCCATTAGATATAACAATTAATTTACAATGATTGGGGTGATTCAATATTTTTTAATAAATTTGAAATTATTAGAATCGGTTGTTTGCAAAGTTTTAACTAACATTTCCATTCTTTGGAATTGGACCAATCTGATCTGCTTACAAATGACCCAAACCCGATAAAAGTCCAAAAGTTGAGCCTCGGCCCATTTCTCCTGAATTGTCCGCTATGCCTATTACTACTCCTATTTGGTCACAGTGGTAGCCATTAGCAAACTAGAAGAAATACTCATATTCAAGAGAGCGTAGCCACCGGATCGTTCTCGATTGTTCCCATTCTCTTCGTCACCCTATTAATCCTTGCAGTTGCAGGTATTTGTTATGCAAACCTGTTCACTCGTTCAAAACTGGCCGGATTAACCACCGCGGTTGCAGGTGTTTCTCTTTTATACTTTTTTTTATTGTCATTTTGTTTTCGATTTCTGTATACAGTACTTCCGTACGTAGTTCGGTGTATGATTTACGTTAATAATTTGTTCCTTCTTAATTTTGATGTATTGTTTGTGTTATGAAAATTTCTCGGTTCGTGGCCTTCTCTAATTAGGGTCTGACTCGGATTTTGTTTTTTCAAATTGTTATGTTCATTAAGTAGGGAAGGATGGATAAATCTAGTCAGGTAAGTTGAATCGTGAAATTAGGTTAAATTGCTTTCGTTTAATGTTCTTACGCCTGATACAATCAGTTTGAAATAAAGATCTAGAAAACGAAAGATACAAACGTCGTTGTTAGAGCTTAATATGATGAGTGGAGATCTCTCTTTGTGTACTAAGCATATTAGGTCAATACTCCAAAATCTGTCCTAAATTTGTCTCTAATGTGCTATCTTTCTCAGATTTTCGATGGAAACTGGAGGCAATTCCTTAGCATCTGGGCCAGATGGAGTGAAGAGAAAGGTGTACTACTTCTATGACCCAGAGGTTGGAAATTACTATTATGGACAAGGTCACCCAATGAAGCCACATAGAATTCGCATGACACATGCTCTATTAGCCCACTATGGTTTACTTCAAAACATGCATGTTGTAAAGCCTGTTCCAGCTAGAGACAAAGATCTTTGCAGGTTTCATGCTGATGACTATGTTTCTTTTCTAAGAGGCATCACCCCAGAAACACAGCAAGATCAATTAAGACAACTAAAAAGGTTCAATGTTGGTGAAGATTGCCCTGTGTTTGATGGTCTATACTCCTTCTGTCAAACTTATGCAGGAGGTTCTGTTGGAGGAGCAGTGAAGTTAAACCATGAGTATTGTGATATAGCTATAAACTGGGCAGGTGGACTTCATCATGCTAAAAAATGTGAAGCTTCTGGTTTTTGCTATGTCAATGACATCGTCTTATCAATTCTTGAACTTCTGAAAGTGCACCAACGTGTGCTGTATGTAGATATTGACATTCATCATGGTGATGGTGTAGAGGAAGCTTTTTACACTACTGATAGAGTCATGACTGTTTCTTTCCACAAATTTGGTGATTATTTCCCGGGGACAGGGGATATAAGAGATATTGGGTATTCAAAGGGAAAGTATTACTCACTGAATGTCCCTCTAGATGATGGAATTGATGATGAAAGCTATCAGTCACTGTTTAAGCCAATAATTGGTAAAGTAATGGAAGTGTTCAGACCTGGTGCTGTTGTGTTACAATGTGGTGCAGATTCTTTATCAGGAGATAGATTGGGTTGTTTTAATTTATCAATTAAAGGGCATGCTGAGTGTGTGAAGTATATGAGATCTTTTAATGTGCCTTTATTATTACTTGGTGGTGGAGGGTATACAATACGTAATGTTGCTAGATGCTGGTGCTATGAGGTATTCTTGTTTTTTTTAATAAGTATATGGTGTGATTAAATAAAGATGTATATAATGCAATTTTGATTTGGTTTTGTAGACAGGAGTTGCACTTGGGGTTGAGTTAGAAGATAAGATGCCTCAACATGAGTATTATGAGTACTTTGGTCCTGATTATACTCTTCATGTTGCTCCAAGTAATATGGAAAATAAGAACTCTCGCCAGCTGTTAGATGAAATTCGGTCAAAGCTTCTAGATAATCTCTCTAAATTACAGCATGCACCAAGTGTCCAGTTTCAAGAGCGCCCACCTGATACAGAATTCCCAGAGGTTTGTTATTTGTTACAAAAAATTCACTTTTTGAATTTGTATATCTAATTATGAGAAGCCAACAGCAGTCATTTTTTCTTGTATTCAGGCAGATGAAGATCAAGAGGATGACGATCGAAGATCAGATGATTCTGATGTTGATGAAAATAATGAGGGGTAAAATTGTCTTTCCCCAAAACATTATAAAGAAAAAAACAGTTTCTTCCTCAATTCTCCTCCCTGAATTCTGATATTCTTGTATTTGCATTTGCAGCAAGCCTTTCATTGGACTTGTGAAAAGGGAACTCCATGATATTGAGTCCAAGGACATGGTATGTGCATGATAAATTAAAGACTGTAGTGTTTCTTTTTTGGACTCATGGTTTCATTTTGTATAAATTCAGGATGATGTGAAAGAAGGTGAACGTGCTAATAGAGAGATGGATGCCTCATTTGCTGAAATATCCATAAAGGTGAGCAAACAGACACCTATCTATTTTCATAAAAGAAAAAGGATAAGTATTTATGTAGTGTTTTTAAGTGTTTGTTTGTATGTATTTTCAGGGTTCAAATTCAGTGTCAGCACCTGCAGATGTGAAACAAGAACAAGGAAACTCAAACAAGCCGGATCAGCCTTCTACTGCTGAGATGAATTTATAGTGTATGATGATATGTCGATGTCATGTTTTTACTTTTAACTTTTATGAATCTATTTTAAATTTGTGTTGAGGATTGGTGTATTATGTTGTACAAAACTGACTGGAACATGTGCACAAGGTTGGTAAGTTAAAAAGATGAGTAGATGAAATTAAATGACAAATGTTTTATTATTATTTTTGGTATTGACTATCCTGATGAGGGTATGATTTACCTTTAAAATTATATGACAAAATTACATGATTCGTTGTATGCTTGCAAAATGTATCATGTTGTCAAAAACGCTATGCGTGTGTTAGCCATTCTAAAAGAAATGTGCATGTGCAAATAAGGATAAGTCCATATCCCTCCCCTTTTCTTGCCCAATGCCACTTATCAACTAACCCTCCTTCCTCTTCACCGCCTACCTGGCATAGATTCCGACACACATGCATCTTCTTCTTGCCGCCCAAATGCATCGTTTCCGAGACCTAAACTCAATTTAGATTTTGTGTATTTTTATTCTCTACTTTTTTATTTCTTGTTTCTTATTTGAATACGTTTGGAGAATCACATATGTTAATAAAGGAAGAATCAAACCCAATTCCATAATCTACATGAGAGAAAAGAAAAGCAGAAACATTTTGTTCATCGATGGTCAAAAAGGGAAGGAGGAATAGGAAAGTCGTTCATCGCATGTTAGATAAAGCACATGTACTCAATGATTTGCAGTTCGATGAAGAACATGGACCTGAAGGAAAAAATATAAAATGTATCGGGGAACTTGCATGTTATAACCTATGTTAGCTTTAGCTCGGTTGTATTTCTTGGTTCTAGCTTCTTGCTAGAGTTCCTTTTTATTTATATCATACTAGTTGAACACATGTGCGTTATGCATGAAGAAGAAATTTTCTTTTCGCAGTCATATGAAGTAGCATCTACTTTCTCTCTTTCATATGCTAATAATGGTAATAATTTTCGATATTGTTCTTTGCAGATATCAGAAGAATGATGTAACTCAGTAAGCTTAGCATACAATCGTTTAGCAAAGTTACAGTAGATGTTTCTTTGTTTAACTAACAAAACATTATCATTCCTAACCATATCCCTATCTACTGTAATATTTCACAATTGTAGCTCTAAGTTCTCTATCTTACTCTTCTTAAACTCCATCTTATTTTGAATATCATATAGTAATGACTTCGATTGTTCAACTTCTCTACTCACGAAGATCAACATATCATTAAGATAAGAAAGAGTATCATCAAAATCTAGTAAAATTGCATGATAAGTACTAGAGGGAATATTAAGAGATTCAAGAAGATTACGTACCTTCGCAGTCATTGGAGACTTTTCAACTCCAGTCGAGAGAAAGCAAGTACCAGTGACCTTCTCTTCCTTCAAATCATCCTCTTCGAATTGAGCGAACATTGCTCCATGGGTAGGATTACTCATTTCCTCATCATCAGACCCGGATGACCAAATCTGATATGTTCCATCACTCTCATTTCCACCTTTCACCATCAATGTGAGTCCCTTTGTTCGAGCCCTCAACTCCTTAATTTTCTCAGCGTAATACGCTTCATCTTTCACCCTCTCCTTCTTCTTTTTTTTCTTTCGCAGCATGCAATCTTTGGCCAAGTGATTCGAACCATTGCAATAGTTGCAATCATAGCCCGAATCCCCTTTCAGCTTCAGTGGCTTCTTCTCACTCACAATTTTTCCTTCCTTCTTCTCCTCCTTTGACTTCACTCTTGCACCTTTGCCCGTTGAGCTATTCGCTACTGTTCTTGTACTTTGGATTATACAGCTTCTTGAAAAACTTTTTCACTTTATTATTCGAGTAATAAGTCACCGCTTCATCCTCAGAATTCGTCAAAAATCCTTCATCTTCAACATCCTCTTGTTCTCCAGATTCAATTTCGGATTCCTTGGCAGTCAATTTCGACATCAGAGCCAAAGGTCCTCCAAAGCTCAACTTCCCTTCTTCAGCAATCTCATTAATCTCACTCTCATGGGCTTTCAGAACGTTGTACAAATCAGCCAAAGAATAACAGTCGAAACTCTGTTGAGTTTTGATCATCAGGCTTATGTTCCTCCATTCCTTTCGCAACCCCATCAGAAAAGTTAGATTATACTCCAGAGTCGAACGAGTGACCCCATAACGAGTACACTTAAAGATCAACTCATTCAAGCGATCATAGTATAACTCGATGGTTTCGTTATTTTTCTTCTTAAACTCACCCAATTCCAACAGACACTGCTTCACTGAACTTTTATTTTGGTCTTCTCATCGTCCTGATATTTCTCTTTCAACGTATCCCAAATTTCCTTCGCGGTTTTGCAACTTTGAACATAGTTGTAAACAACTGGTGGAAGAGCACCACACAGTTCTCGAAGGCATTTCTTATCATTTGCTTTCTGTTTATCTGTTTGCATAGCAACATCAGTAGAAGAATCAGTAGTTTCGACCTGTTCGAGCCTTCCAGGACGATAGTTTTCGCTTGTAATACACCTCCAAAGATCTTCATCAATGTCGTTGATATAATCCTCCATTCTATCGGTCCACTGCTCATAATATTCAGGTATGAGCATTGGAATCTTTGTCGATGATCCAAGTAAATGAGAAAAGCTTGACATTGTGTTCATGTTGAAGTTCGCCATTTTCGTACGGAAAAAAGTGATTTTTGATTTCAAAAAAGAGATCTAATAGAAGAATCAATCAGAGAATGATCAGGAAACACTCAGTCTAACAAACTGATTGAAGAATCAAAACGAATCAATCAATTGACACAAGTTTTCTTAATCAATAATGCGGAAAACATTTAATCGGAACGAGCGATTCAAAAATATTGAAAAAGTACGAGAAAACTGGAATTGATTGAATGTATCCTGCTTTGATACCAAATAAAGAGTGTTTAAATCAAGTTTAGAATACGAAATCAATCACCGAATGAAATAAGAACACGATATGTAAATAATATATGATTGGCTCATTAATCGTCTGAAAAGTACACGAGTTCAAGAAAGAGAATACAATAATGAAATGTGCAAAAGCTACTCTCTACTCCTATACTTACTCTATTTATAGAGTGTTACAGACTCACAAAAAGTATGCAGGGACTAGACATTAGCCCTCAACATCACAGATGCCTTGCAAAATACATACACTTCGAAGTACATGACTTCGCACCCAAAGAGACTAAAACTAATTTTGACTTTTCACAATACATTTCGCACCTTACAGATGGTAACCCGAATGAAGATCAATCTTGGAAAACGAAGTTGCACCCTGAAGTTGGTCAAACAAATCATCAATCCTCAGAAGTGGATAACGGTTCTTCACCATTAGCTTATTCAGCTCCCGGTAGTCAATACACATCCGATAAGACCCATCCTTCTTCTTCACAAACAGGATCGGTTCTCCCCATGGAGAACTGCTCGGTCGAATGAACCCCTTGTTTAACAGCCCCTGCAGCTGTGTAGAGAACTCCTACATCTCCAAACAAGCTAATTGATACAGTGCTTTGACTATCGGATCCGCACTAGGAACCAGGTCAATCCTAAACTTCACCTGTCTCTCCAGAGGCACTCCAGGAAATTCCTCTAGAACACATTCGGGTACTCCCGTACAATCGACACATCATCCCCAATCGCCTTACCCTTATCCCGGGTATCCATAACATAGGCGACATATCCGGAACAACCCTGATGAAAATAGTGTCTGGCCCAAGCTATTGAACATAGAATCGACCCATGCTAAGTACTCTCTCTCTCTGAACTACTAACTCTCCCCCGCTTGGGGTCCGAATACATACCCATCTAATGCACGCAGTCAATCACCACCCCATTGGGGCTCAACCAATCCATCCCTACAATAACTTTGTTCCTGTGCAAAGGAATATAACCAAATCGATCGGAAACTGCTAGTTGAACATCTCTAGAACACAACCCCAATGAACCCTCGATGCCCGAACGGATCGATCATCCTCAATCTCAACCTCTAATGGACAATCTAGCTCCCCTGGAGCTCCAGCAAACCTCTTATTGAGCGCAAGAGATACAAAAGATCGGGTAGCCCCCGAATCAATAAATATCAAGGCATAGATACCTTTCACAAGGAACGATCCTACAACAAACACACACTCATAAGCAGAATAATCAACATAAATAAAGAGATAATGAGAAGATACATACCTGTCACCACATCAGGTGCTGCGCGAGCGTCCTCAGCCGTAAGCCCTGCTCTTCACCACAGGCGCATCCGCCTTGCCCTGGCGGCCATCAGTAATCCGTAGAGTCGTTGGAGCGGGTGATACCACTGGTCCTGCTGCTGCCAAACTCGGACAATGGGCCTTCTTGTGGCCCCTCTGATTGCAATGGAAGCAAATCAGATCAGATATTGGGGTGGTGGTGGTAGTAGTACCAGTGCAATCCCTGCTAATATGAGCCGTCCGGCTGCACTTGAAGCATCCAGAACCACCCACCCTGCACGCCCCATCATGCGTCTTGACGTACTTACCACAGCGACTCCGGTCCTGCTGGCCTCTCGATATCGAATCAAATACCTTGGGCCTTTTGCCCGAACCCCTTGAAACTTGAGCCTGACCTGACTTCCTCTTCTTCTCCATCTCTAGATCAATCTCCCTCTCTCTATCTCTCGCAATCATATCCTCCAGTGTCTTACAACTAGATCGGCTCACGAACTGCCGAATATCGCTCCTCAACATCTCCTGGTATCTCACCTTCTTCATCTCCTCATCTGCCACATACTGTGGAACCAACAAATCCCTCTCGCGGAACATAACGGTGATCTCAACCACCATCTCAGTAGTCTGGCGAAGGTCCTGAAACTGACTCGCCAACTGTTGCACCTCAATCTCCGGTGCAAAATCAACTCTAAACCTCGACACAAAATCATCACATGTCATCGAATCAACTTCCGCATCACCAACGGAGCACCCAACCTCCTCCCACCAATCTCGTCCTCTATCTTTCAGAATACAGGAAGCAAGTCTGACCTTTGCCCCATCGGGACAACTGTTAGTGCGGAAGGCATTAGCGACATCCACTAACCAACGTCTACTCGCTATCGGGTCCTTCTCCCCGAAGTAATCTGGAGCTCCACAGGCCCGAAACTCCCTAAATGTCAACGTGCGAGCTCCCATAAATGCCACCATCTCAGACTGAA